ACGATCTTCCACAGGTACCTGGTTATCTGTGGATGCTATTATGAGCTCATACTTTCTATCTTGCTTTATTGCTATACATGCAAATAGGTGTATGTATGTGGAACCATTTCTGGAGAAGAGGCTCACATACAAGACAAAATGAACTTGTGGCTTGGTGATGGGTCACAGTGATATGAAATCATTGTCAGCATATAAAGACGTGTATTTCTGTACACACAGAATAGACTCAAACATCATAATTCTAGGATGCATAGTCTTTATATATTTTAATTCTAAAAGTAGGACACATTCTTATAATTGATAGTGTGTTATAATTCATTTGGTCCCATTTTTTTCTAATACTACACAAAATAATGACTCAAATAACAATGGTGTCTTGGATTTAATGAAATACATTGCACAGATTACAGCATGTAAGGTCAGAAGGTGCCTTGGCAATGTTACAGGAACTCTTCAAGGAAATTTAAATTAAAGGGTCAATGCTAAAGACATGGATTTTGGTGACAAAACAGGTAAAATCTATTGATCAATTTTTCAAATACTTTCACCTATCTTATGTGAATCATTAGAACTTGTAAACTCAATGTAAATCACTTTTTAAAAGATATTTCTTCTGTAATATTTGGTGCATAAAACATAATGATTGTGTAAGTTAGAAAGCATAATGAGTTATTGTTGAAAGTAAATGAATACATTTTAACTGTGTGCAAAATCTACACGAGTACATACATATTGAATAATACTATTTTCTAAAAAACAAAACTAAAACAACACTTTCAAAGTTAAATTTTAGCTTGATTTACATAGTAATTTTTTGTCATTGTTCATTTTCAGTGTTAATGTGGAAAAAAGTATTCAAAGGATATTTTTTAAACTGCATGTTAGATTTAAAATTAAAAAGGCATATTTTAATGGGAGTTGGTTTAAAACAATCTGATTGTGAGTGAGATAACAGTTTGGAAAATGTGGCTACGCTTAGCTTTGCTTCCAAATTTGGACTTTGAAACTTATTGTCAGTCTCAGAAAGAAATCAGAAGCTGTGCAGATAATTAAACGTTTATTTGCCTTGGGGGAATTATTTGCAGTTAATTAAAACCATACACTTTGGGTGTATACTTGCTTCACTGGTTATTAAATTGGAATCATATGTTAACTACCCAAGTTTCTTACTTGTCCATCAAATGTTGTTTGTGGCAGGTTCGAGAAACAAACTTTCTCATAATATTTTAAACTATGAGAGAGAAGAGGAAAAGAGAAAGAATGATTTATTTTAGATTCCACATAAATCAGCTGTTAGAAAATGCAGCTGATCAATATGAACTCAGTAGACACCCCATTGATAAGTAATCGAGGTGTCATTGCACCATCCCAGCTTTCTTCATGGCCACATGCATACAAGATTAGCTCATGGTTTTTACATATCTTTGGATGACCACCCTTTTAGCTGCATGATTGTAACCTCTATGAGGACAGACATTTGACATTTTGTTTACTATTGACTCTCCAGCATGAAGAACAGTGTCTGGCATAGAGTTGGCCCTTAATAAATATTTACAGAATGGATGAAAAACCTATTTTCTGTCTTCCAGTGGATGTACTCACATGCTCTTTATGGTGGCTTTTTAAGGAGCCTCCAGAGAGGCCTCAAACATCCAAACACGCTTTCTAGCTTTGCAAGAATCCAGTCATTGGAAACCTTTTAGCCACTGTAAAGTATCTCACGTGACCAAAAAAAAAAAAAATAGATGAACTTATGCTGATCCCACATTTAAATGTGTTATACAAAGAAGAGGATGAAATTGCCCAGAACAGAAGGTTTGCGTTCTCCCCTTTCTATTATTATACNTAGTGCACAGTCTAGCTTACAGGAAATGCTAATTAAAATGTATCCTTGTTTGTTATAGTTATCAACAGATATGTATTGGGTTTTAAGTCTTTGTAAGACCTTCTGTGATGTGAAGAAGAAAATATAGTTCTTGTCCTTTAAGGAATTTATGATCTAGATGACAAAATGAAATATGCAAGTGTGTGTTACATAGCTAATATCAGCAACAATAATAATAATAGCAGCTGATATTTATCTAACCCTTACACACCAGATTGATTCTAACTTTACATATTTTCACTCATTCCACGCTCATCTGATAGAAATACAGTATCATCCCACCTTACAAACAAGGACAGCGAAACACAGAGCAATAAGTAAATGTTTTGAGGCCACAAAGCCAGGATGCAAGACAGCTAACAAAACAGACAGAGCATGACAAGCATCAAGGAAGGATGACGCTGAAGCACATTAAAGGAGGTTGGGGCCAAGGAGCTTCTCTGGCCTGAAATTATCTGTGAAATGTAGAGAGGGAATGTGGGATTTAAGCTGGGATCTGAAAGATGCACAAATGTAACAAAATAGAAGGACGCTATTTTTGTTGGGAAGAAGAACATCCATGAAAGGTTGGAAGTAGGACATCAAAAAACCTATTTTTGGTACAACGAATAAATCCACTTGGCTTAAATGATGGATCTGTTCTCTATTCATTAATTAGTCTCTAAGTTAGAGCTCTGATTATGGAGAACAAATCAACAAATCAAATCAACATAAAGCAAAAATTTTCAACCATTAGGTATTGTTTGGGTATAAGTCGTTTTTTTAATGTGGTAGTTGTTAATAAATTCATCATTCTCTTTTCCCTCTAAATCTGCCTCAGAACATCTATCTGATTATACCTAATTAGACTCTTTTTTTTCCCCAGTCATCTCTATTAGAATTTGTACATGCTTCTCTTTAAGCCAAATCAGATGTTTTAGTTTCTGCTGAACCATCCTTTGACAAGCTGCAATTTCCCATTCTCATAACTCTGGCCATCAAATAAACATGTCTT